GCATGTGATCACCACCTGGAGTCGGCCGAGTCAAATAGACTGCCTAACACCTGGTTACCCACCGGTAGATGCGCTTGCCCCCTCGCTGGGTATACAGGTGGTGGGCATGGCTGCCCAGTCATCATCCTCGTCCTTCTGTCCCCTGTTGGGGTGTTGTTGTTGGTGCAAAATCCTGGTCAAGTGTGTGTGTGTGTGTTGTGGACCAGGGTGTGTAGTGGCACGCCCAGGTGCGGTCCGACTGTGCCAGCCACCTACGCCCTCCCACCCCGCCTCCAGTCTTCGTGACTCTCTCTTGACACCGGGTCCAGGTGGGGGAGGAGGGAGAAGTGCGGTAGATGCAACGAAATTCTACTATCACCATAAGTTAATTCACTCGCAAGTTACCGTCCCCACTCCGTGGAATCCGAGCCCATTTCCCCCTCCGCTTTTTTATGTAAAGTCTTAACCAGTGTATGCTGTGGACCAGAAGGTGTGGTGGTACGCTTGGGTGTCTATCTTTGTCGTGCTAATCACCTGCGCCCTCTCCTACCCTCAGTCTTCCTAACTCTGTTTTGACACCGGGACAAGTTACGGGAAGAGGAGAGGGTGTGATAGATGCGGCGGAAGTTTTCCTATCACTTTAAGCTACCTCACGCATAAGTCACCGTCCCCACTCACACCCTGCTATGTGGACTTCATCAGTCACGACGGTCGAAACTGTTGTGTGTGTGTGTGTAAGAGAGAGAGAGAGAGAGAGAGAGAGAGAGAGAGAGAGAAGGAGAGAGAGAGAGAGAATGTCACCTGGTTCCCTGCCGGCAGATGCGCTTGCTCCCCCGCTGTGTATTCAGGTAGTGGGCATGGCTGCCCAGTCCGCATCCTTGTCCTTCTGTTGGGGTGTTGTTGCTGCTGATGTGCTCTCTAATTCTGTCAGTCATTGCGCCCACTTCTGGCATCAGATATCTGACTGGCTCGGACAGTTGACTGGCGCCTGGGAAGGGGAAGAGACAGAGAGTGTAAGGTCGACGTCTCAGCGCAATTTCCTCCTCACCATAAACAATCTGACGCGCTTAAAGCTATCACGGTGCGTAAGCGCTGTGGCCTGATGAGATAACGCAGATCCCGCAGTCAGCTCAGTGTGTGCGTTTGTGTGGAGTGGCCGAGTGGTGGGCTGAGAGTCAGGATGCAATGGCTCCTTCTTAATGTGGTCTCTATGGCATTCGCACTCCATGAAATCCGAGCTGGATGTGGCGGCACGCTTACGGGCGGCTCCGTTCGCGCCAGCCAACTGCACCCGGTCTTCTTGACTTGGTCATGCACCAGACCCAGGTTGGGTGGGGGAGGGGGAGTGTGGTAGGTGTCCGGCAAGTTACCGTCCCTGCTTCCATTGCGCTGTGGAGCACACGGTGAGCATGGTCGAAATCGACGGTCGAACTGTCATAGTGAGGAACGCGATAACTTGCTGTGAGGAAGGACTTTCCAGTACCGGCCCTCCTCTATGTACCAATAACCTGTTCAAGTCAGGCCAACCGGGGTTGATATCGGACACAGTGCCTGACAAAGCTGAACCCAACACAGGGCGGAACACGGGATGAGCTATGAAGAGGTCCTGCATAATTAATAAGTGGACAAAGTCTGGCAGGACTATGGCGACTGTAATGCAGCTGCTTATAGGACACCAGGGTAAGTGCAAACAGAATAGACACGCAGGCCAAGCAGTCGGAGGGAGAGACTAAACTTACATTCATCTGCTTTGCGAGCACTTTGAAGCCGTTCTTGACACGGAAGTATGACTGTAACTGCTCCAGAGTGACTCCCTCGCCTTTTTCCACCTCAACTGGTTCGCCGTTAGCAGACGCAGTGGCCGTATCGGGTGATGATTGCTGGGACTGACGACCTCCTTTCCGTCTCCGACGGCGGCTGGTGCTGTTGCGGACCTCCGAGTCGCCTGTGCCCGCACCTGCGCTCGCTGAATCCTCGAGCTTTGACTCAACTTCGACCGCTTGATCACCAGCTGAGGTTGCCGCATCGGAATTAGGTGGGTCGTTTGAGGAGGAGGGGGAGGACTTCTCGGCTTCTGTAGCGGCAGCACTCAACACCTTTGCCATCTGACAGAGGATGGAGGTGTACTGGGGGAGCTCCCGTCCACCGCAGGCGACCTCACCAATTAAACGCAGAAGGTTGTCCCTGCAATAAACGTAGGCACGAAGAACAGAGATCAGCCCAACGTTTTACAATGTAATGCCACCTGACCAGTGTCCGAGGTCAGGCATCAGCAAACCCTGGCCCTAGCAGCCTGGTATGCGCTGACACCTGATTCCCTGTCAGTAGATGCGCCTGAGCTCCCGCTGGGTATACAGATGGTGGGCATGGCTGCGCAGTCATCCTCGTCCTTCTGACCCCTGTTGGGGTGTTGTTATTGTTGTTGGTGAAAAATCCTGGTCAAGTGTATTTTGTGGACCGGGGGGGGGGGGGGGGGGGGGGGGGGTGGTACGTTTAGGTGCGTGTCCGGTCATGGCAGCCAACTGCGCCCTCCCCCACCTCCGGTCTTCTTCGCTCTATCCTGACACCGGGTCCAAGTGGGGAGTGGGGAAGAGAGAGTGTGGTAGGTGATGCGCAAGTCTACATTCACTATAAACTAATTCACGCGCAAGTCGCCGTGCTTGCTGCACCCTGCTGTGTAGTACATGGTGAAGATCGTCGGAATCGACGGTCGAACAGACTTATGAGTGAGGGAGTGAGATTGCTCGCTCGCGCGCACGTCCATATATGTGCGACTCGTGTGTTAAGATAGAAATGTGTGAATTAGGGGAGACAGCTAGGGAATGAGGGCCTGGATTTGTAGCTTGGAAGGCTGCCACCTGACAGTATAACTCGGCCCTCCTTCCAGGACGGAGGATCAGGCTACCGTGGTCCCTTCGAAATGCGGCTTCTATGATACTTCCGCCCAGATGGGGTTCGAGCTGAACACTTCTCGATTCTGCGAAAATGGGGTCCATTATGCGCGGACCAGGCACGTGGGCGTAGACGGACTGTTCATCTTCGCCAGCCACCCTCCAATACCATTACTGATTATCCCGACTTGGTCTTGTCCTTGGGTCCAGAAGAGTGGGGAGGAGGTGTGAGGGCGTCAGACGCTACGAACGTCGCTGTTCCTGAGACCGCCATGCTGTGAGGGAACGAGGTTGGCATTACCGTTCGCGACGGTGGGGCTGTCTTTACCCACGAAAAGAAGTCGTACGAAAGGTCAGTGTTTTGAGTCGATCATCGCTCTGTGCGACATTGTTTCGCATTATCTGCCCCCCCCTTCCCCATCAAGAGATGCACAGCTGCTCACTCAGCACTTCGATGTAACCACTTATTTTCTTGGCACAATGACTTACAAAACGAATTAGAACTAGTGTTATTTACTGGTTCCTGGTTATTTGGAGTACGGATCCTTAGAGACCACAGTGGCCAGTTGTCAAGGTCAAGGTAACGAACGCCACACAATCAGCGGAAAGTAGTAGAAATACGCAATTGAGGAGGATGGTTCTTTGTACTTTTTCCTTCATGACTACATTTTCGAGTAGCTAACAGGCAAAACCCAAACCCTTGGCTGAAAAAAATAAGGGTGAAGGTTAAGTATATGCGCGGGGTGAGGAAAACATTGGAGTACTGCCTACAATATTTGTGCGGGTGGAAGTTGTACGGTATAGTTTTTGTCAGCCCTTCTTCGGTAGAATGACATTCGCCGACCTCTACCGACCTGAGGCATCGGCGCTGCTGAAATGTCTTCATTGGTTTGCATCCTTACACGTAGCTTTTTGGTAAGGGGAAGGTTCATTTTTTAAAAAAAGGTTCGGCACGGAGAGCAGTCAGGTAGAAATGCATAAATCTGCAATTAAAGCAGGAAAGTCAGGACTCTGGTGATTTTGTTACATAGCAGTTGGCGTTTTCTTACGCCGCGCACATACTTAATCCTTGCTGAGTCTGCCTGCGTGTGTCACGTACGACCTGCCCCACCCCCCCCCCCCCAATAAGAACGGGCCTGATCCCACATGTGCGAATGTCATAAAGGTTATATTTTAGAAGCAGACATTACAGCCTAGCTAGTAGTCCGGGTTAGGACCGAGTTACCTAGTCAGTCGAAATCCTTTCCAGCCACGACTCATGATGCCTCTTTCCAGATTTAACCGTATCCGATCTGCTCTGATGGGGAGTATGCTAATTTGCCGCGAGGATGAACTTTCTAGTGTTGGCTTCACTTGATCTTTCTTCTACCATCCATTAGTCGGCTGTCCGAACCTCTCCGCAAACGGATGATTAGGTTGGGCGCAGTGTGTGACGAGACCTCGGGCCTTGTCTACGCGGATCACACGCGACCTAGTCGCCACTCCATTTGTACCAGGCTTCATCAAGGGATATGATTCTCACGTACATGAGGTGCGCCTGTTCTGGCATTGGACCTTTCGCACGGCGTACCGGCCGCTGGTAGAATGAATTTTATGGTTGTTGAGAGAGAGAGAGAGAGAGAGAGAGAGAGAGAGAGAGAGAGAGAGAGAGAGAGAGAGAGAGAGAGAGAGAGAGAGAGAGAGAGTAAGGTATTGTGTTGCGGAGGTGGCGCGTTAACGCGTGTTTTGTAGTAGGTGCATATATAATCTAGGAATGTGTGGTGGATCTGCACTGTATTGTTTTAATGAAGACTTTTCTAGAGACGCATATGGCCGGATAGATCCCTGAGATGATCGAATGTCCTGAGGCAGTTTGGGTAGGACGAGGAATGGACGAAGAATATAGGTGGGGGGGGGGGAAGGAGGCTTCAGGCACTGGGTCGTCGGTTGTAGTGCGATGGGTTCGCAAGCGACCGGCCAGACTGATGGTTGGTGTAAAGGCATGAGTGAAACTGAGACAGACTGGAACTGGGTCCACATTACTGGAATGGAGAAGCCCAAGTTTGCATCACCATAACATACCTACTTATTTCATTCAGGTGAATATGGTACGCCCGGGGTTCATCCGTAGTAATGTGTTTAGGGTTGGTGTCCGGGGTTTTTCGGTTAGGGCTAGCATCTTTGGCTAGGATTTAGGCTAAGAATTATAATTTTTGATTGGAATCCGTAGTAGGGGTTAGTTTTGGACTTAGGGTTAGCCTAAGGGTTGAGTTTAAGTTTAGAGTTGGGTGGATGGGCCTACTTTCGTAACGTTTCTGGCGACAGCGATATTCCGTACTTGTACCGAACAACCCGTCCGATGCGTATTTTGAACGTCAGTGGACAATGCAGGCCTGATGGCAAGTGTTGGGTGTTTGCAACACTGACTCTGAACATTCGAGATTTGCCTAGTTCGCTCTTCGCTTTGGCCTCTTACAGTAAGTGGGCTAACTCATGAAATCTCAAAAGAAATTCGGAAATGCGCTTTCGTTTCAAAAAGATTAATTAAGTAGGGTTGTAAAACCAATCATCATGCAGCATAATTATATAATAATTCAGTTACCCTAGGACGCAGGCTTTCGAAGAAATGTCTTTCGGGCTGCATTCAAAAACCATGCTGCGTAAAAAATGACTACATAAGTAGCATACATTTTTCATTGATTTCCGATGTCCTTAAAGATTCAATTATATTTCATAAAAAACATGTACAAAAGTATTCATTATTTCGCTCATATGATAGAAAATTACTTTTTCGAAATTTATACTCAAGGGAAGGGAAGTTTCTGATTGTTTGATTTTTAATAACGTGAAATGGTCCTTCATAAAACGTCATGACACTGCATTTACCAATGTGGCTTGTAGAGGTAACAATGTGGTTCAAATCCACTGCTTAATTTTGTGAACCCCATATGGTCTTCTCTTAATACGGTAGAGAAATGTATGGTTTTCCGTACGCGGAAAGTATACAGCTTGTAGTTCAGGAACCTTGAATGCAAGTGTGACGGCAGGTTAGGTTCAGAATTAGTCGAGAATTGGAAAGATTTTGTAAAACCAAATTATACCCTTTATTCGAGTATAAAATTGAAAGAAGACGTAATGTTCTACTGAATGAACAAAATAATGAATATTTTTATGCATGCTTTCTATTAAATATAATGGAATCTTTAAAGACATCGGAAGTCAATGAAACAAATGCAT